TTTCTTTCGAACTTAATAACTATTTTTATTTTGTCTTTCGTATCTGACCAAATGCAAACGTGCCTAAAATAACATGTCTTATTATCAATGTATATAAAAAAAAAATGATTTAAATTAATATTTGAAACCAAGAATTATTATGATATGATTAGACATTTTATTTTTATATAGAAGACAAAAGAAAGATTAAATGATTTCTTATGTATTGAATATCAAAATTCAAAGAATGTTTTCTTAAGATAAACTATATTAAATATGACAAACTGCATTATATTTATTACCTTCATTTAATAACTAATCTATGTTCATCTTTAATAAATTATTCACATAAATTCGTCCTACAAGCATATAAATCGTTATTCTTACCGTATCTTGTGATCGAAGAAAAATTTTGATTTATTAAGAACTCACTCAATTTACTTTCTTCTCTGTCCGCTACTCTTAATCATACAGTTGATACATGTCCATCATTTTTTTTTGTCTCTATAAACGATTAGAGTCAACAAACGTGTACAACATCATTACAACTATGAATTGTGTTTAATTTAACATTTTATTATATCGGATATGTTAATACATTCGAACGAAAACTAACTGCAGTAATGTTTATATAGTTATGATTATTCGATATTATAGATTGAGTTTGAATTCTCGAAACGAATATTAATCAACATTTGTTTTTACTTACTTTGATATAAATGATGGCGCTAGTCTCTTTCTTCGTTGTTATTTCATATATATATGACCTCGGTTTCAACACTACTCACCAACTTCGACATCGTAAAATTCGGTCTTTTTTTTCCTTTCTGTCGTTCTTGTTACTTTATTTTTTTCTTCGTTCGTCTATATTCTTCTGTCAATAGAGACATATTTCTCTCTGTTCTCTCACCTTCATCGGACAACGATAATTCATGGATGCATACGAAAAGAAAATATAATACTGATTTTATTGAAAAGAAACATAAATGACCTTCAATAGCTAAGAGATAATATTGAATAAAACAAATTCATTAGAAATTAATCTTCAACGATGAAAATTTTCAATTGATCAAAGTATTTTATTTTTCAAGTCGAAAAATAAAATTCACCCAACGATACAAAGATGATCAATTAAGAAAATATTTTCTATTATTGTCTGCTATAAAAATAAGACTGCTATTTTTTTTTACTAAACAAATTGAAGAATTTTATAAAAATGCTACTATCTATAACTTCTAATCCTATTATAAGAATTATTTTAAAAAATTGAACTCATTCCTATTGATTGAAAAGATCTATAAAAAGAATTCGGTGTATGTTTTTTTTTCTCATTTATATTATTTGAAATTGTGACAAGAGTTCTCATGGAATTATCAGAACTAAGCTTTCCATGAACTAATCCTACTTAATAATCAGCAATATTTATTTTGTTTATATTCAATGCATTCCCATTAGTTCAATTTAAATAACCATATAAATTATATATTTCAATAATTGTTTAAAATATTGGACACGACAAGTAAATCACATTGATATTGAACATAATCCATGTAACATTGATAATGCATCTATTGAATAGTGCCATATTTCTAAACAACACAATATGATGAATTACGATTAGAATTTAGACGAATTGTGATATTTTCTCACCGTTTCAAAATGTTGTTGATAATAGAAATCAATACTATCATATGATAGGTTTCTATCGAATAATACACATATTGCATTCAGACTTGTCATATAACATTAATTTTATGATAACAATGAAACATTAAACATTATATTCTTTTAAACGTCCATAATTTTCAAATTAAAAAAAAAATCATTGGATCAAATTGTAGCTCATTTGCTTGAATAAAATTTCATGTTAAAAAAAATAGTAACAACAAACAATGCAAAACAATCGCATGTTCTATATTGAATAGGTGAATAGAGTTTCCTTAAAGTTTACAAAAGATATCTACAAGACAAAGACATTCCCATTCAATTTTGCTCATTCTAATTTTTTATTTTCTTAAAAATAACACCGAGAATAACGATCACACTTTGGTAACAAAACGACAGATGAGACTTTGCAGTTGAAATTTGTACTAATAAGCTAAATGTTTCACATTAATGTGAAAATCCATTTTTTTTGATCAACGATAAATAACAGCAACGGAGATCAGTATTTAAGACAGGGTCTGCGAGATCACCTATCAACTTTGTATGGAACCGACCACCCATAAAATTTTAATTTTCGATTTTGTTATCTCAAATGATAGATCATCATTTGAAACCTTTAAGTCCAATATATCAGCTCTTTCTGATTTACCTGTGAAAATGCCAAACTATACGACTGACACACCTCTCGACATTTAGTTAAAAAAATATTGTTTTTTTATGGTTCTCTTAGTATTTTGCACTTTTCTCTGCGCCTCTTCATTCGTTTAAGTTCGGGTACGTCTCAAAAGATCCAGAAATTATTCTTCTACAAAATTGGGTAACTCATTAACTTCTACATTACCATTCATCGATTGATAATGCCAATATACAGGCAAAAACGATGACTGACTAAACCAAAGATTTTCTAAATAGTATTTTGACTTTGGTTGCGTGAAATCTCGCTATTCCAAAATGATATTTTTATATTTTCTGAAAGTCCATGAAATCCTGTATCATTTAAAGTATTACTTCAATAAAGTAAAAAAACACCAGCGAAAATAGTTAGTTCATATTACAAATGTTGATGGTTGATGCCTATCTCAATTCATCCTAATCCATAGTCAAGATATTACATATTGTATGTTTATCTAAATGAAAAATATGATTTTAGATTTATAATCAGCATGAAAAAGCGAGTATAAAAATGTTATTTGATTGAATATAAAATTAATGAAGTAAAAAATATTTTGTCAAATACAGATAACTTGAGTATACATCTAAGCACATATTTATAGACATTTGTGTAAAACTCTCTAGTTTCACATGAGAAAATATGTATTATAATATTTTACTTCAATAAAAATCATTCTACTCTTACCTTCAAAAACATCTATTTAGTAGTTTTTAAAATTTTACTATTTTTGAAGAAATCAGGTTTTTCTCCATGTTAGGAGGAAAAAGCATACAAGACTGTTAAACTTATATCCATGTATGGTAACTTTTATCATCATAGTTTCTTCCAATAGCAAAATATATAGCATATTTAGAATCAGCGCAAAGAATTACGTCGAATAGCATATATTTTGCCAAAATGTATTTTTACGAAAAATTGCTCTTCCCTGAAGGACCACAAGTAAAATTTTGGAAAAACGACGAGGGGAAACACAGAGTTCACTTTTCATAAAAAAATTAATTTTGGCGAAATGTATGCTATTCGACGTAATTCTTTGCGCTGATTCTAAATATGCTATATATTTTGCTATTGGAAGAAACTATGATGATAAAAGTTACCATACATGGATATAAGTTTAACAGTCTTGTATGCTTTTTCCTCCTAACATGGAGAAAAATCTGATTTCTTCAAAAATAGTAAAATTTTAAAAACTACTAAATAGATGTTTTTGAAGGTAAGAGTAGAATGATTTTTATTGAAGTAAAATATTATAATACATATTTTCTCATGTGAAACTAGAGAGTTTTACACAAATGTCTATAAATATGTGCTTAGATGTATACTCAAGTTATCTGTATTTGACAAAATATTTTTTACTTCATTAATTTTATATTCAATCAAATAACATTTTTATACTCGCTTTTTCATGCTGATTATAAATCTAAAATCATATTTTTCATTTAGATAAACATACAATATGTAATATCTTGACTATGGATTAGGATGAATTGAGATAGGCATCAACCATCAACATTTGTAATATGAACTAACTATTTTCGCTGGTGTTTTACTTTATTGAAGTAATACTTTAAATGATACAGGATTTCATGGACTTTCAGAAAATATAAAAATATCATTTTGGAATAGCGAGATTTCACGCAACCAAAGTCAAAATACTATTTAGAAAATCTTTGGTTTAGTCAGTCATCGTTTTTGCCTGTATATTGGCATTATCAATCGATGAATGGTAATGTAGAAGTTAATGAGTTACCCAATTTTGTAGAAGAATAATTTCTGGATCTTTTGAGACGTACCCGAACTTAAACGAATGAAGAGGCGCAGAGAAAAGTGCAAAATACTAAGAGAACCATAAAAAAACAATATTTTTTTAACTAAATGTCGAGAGGTGTGTCAGTCGTATAGTTTGGCATTTTCACAGGTAAATCAGAAAGAGCTGATATATTGGACTTAAAGGTTTCAAATGATGATCTATCATTTGAGATAACAAAATCGAAAATTAAAATTTGATTGGCTGTCAGCTCCATACAAAGTTGGTAGATGGTCTCGCGGACGCTCTCTTAAGAAACTGGTAGATTTAACTGAAGAAATATCATTTAATGATAAGAATATGTATATTTTAATTGAAATCACTCTTTTAAACAAGGTAAATAAAAACACTGAATAACTGCCGGTTTGTTGTACTCCAATATGCAAAACTTTACAATCATTTGTATTCGACTATTTGCACTTTGAAACTCATCTGATAGTCAAGTCTAATTTACTATTTATCAAGCATCATATATCAGTGACAAAACAACAAGCAATATCAACAGAGAAGACAAAATATCGCACATATCATGTTCACTCTTTATAAAAATGTTAATCCTTATTTAAATCCCAGTTGAATGACGTCATATATGTTGATAATCTTTTCTACTCTTTTTTACTTATATGTTTAGTTGAAATATCTACTTTGATAATTAGTATTCGATGAAAACATTTTCTATATTGTATTCTGAGAAAGTTTTATTAAAATTTTAATGATCACATTTTGTTTTAAAGCATAAGCAACCAATATATATGCATTTTTCGGATTCAACAGAATATTAATTTAGGAAAAGAAATCTGTTATATAAACAATTCAATCGTTGATATCATAATGTAAACTGATTTGAGGATCAAATATAAATATATACAATATATATTATGGTTTAGTTGAATTCGAAGAAGAAATTAATGGCGTCGATGACTTATAAGATATTTGACTTCTTATTCCGCATATACGAAAACTTGTTGATGGTGATTGAATCAATCCTTCATATCGCCCGTTTCGTTCTACAGAAAAGACAAGAGCCATGCCTGGCCAAAGATGCCATTCCATGTGACAATGGAATGTCCATGGACCTGGATTGTTCGCAGTGAATCGAAAGAGTACATAACTTTCACGCGGTACACTAAATGAATCGCCTACACTAAGGACAGGCGGTGTTGAGTTAAGAGGTGGTAAAATAGTATTAAAATCAAATTGCTTCAGAGCTTGTCGTGTTCGATTACATCCAGTCAGTTGTGGAGTAGGAATTTTGCCAGCAGCTATAAAATCAACTGAATATCCATGCAAATGCCAAGGATGTAATTGTGGATCATAATTAATCATCAATACTTCATAGGTTTGACCATATTCAAAATGTTCAATATAAGTAGCATGAATATTGTTAACACGACCAGGTCGTTCATTTGCAACGGCATGTTTAAATGTACCATCGAAAAAATTAGCATGAAGTAATGGTTCTTTTGGTATGTCGAAAGTAATTCCATTGACAACCCATTCTTCTAAAGCATCAATACCAGTACGATTATTCCAAGCAACTTCGAATGGAAGTACAATACGACGAACGGCAGCTGGAGCAAAACGAGGTTTAAATGGTTTTAAATATTTATATTCGAAAAATGAATCATCCGGACCCAATTTTAGATCTTCTGTTAAACGAGCTGTATGTTTATCAACTTGAAATTTTGAATAAACAAGTAATGCCCATGCCCACATGGCCGGAGTTGGTCTAATAATATTTTCAAAAGGTCGATAGCTATTTCGACTAGCTGCATATATAGTATATTTTACATTTGGATCTTGATTACAATCAATAATTAAATCAAGTCGTTGCCCAATAGGAATATGTACAGAAGAAACAGTAATGGGTTCAATCTCAATACTGTCTCGAGCAACAATAGTAAGATTATGTTGATCAATCCAAAAATGAAATGGAATACCACTAGCAGCATTAATTAATCTTAAACGTATTTGTTTTCCATGTGAACATAGAAATTCGTCGACAGGATGTGCATTTGGATTACAAGGACCAAAAAAAGGTGATCGAAGTGGTATACATTGAACATGATGTACAAAACCACAAGAATCTTTCAAGGTATGGTTGTCAGAACAATTTAATGTACTGCAATCAAATCTACCATGTCCATTAATCAAGAAAGAAGTAGGTGGCCATGGATAAACAGGTATACTACCTCGATAGGCACCATACGGACCTTGATATGCAGTCATAAGATCAGACCATGTTTCGTGATACCATTCTTGTAATATAATAACATAATCATTCGATCCATAATCATATCGTTGTTCAATAGAATCATGATCAAGTATAATTGGACCTAATAATCCATCCGCATATTGTTGAGCATTATGTGAATGATACCAAAATGTTCCTGTTTGTGTTATATTAAATTCATAGGTGAATTTTTCATATGGACTAATAGGACATTGAGTAATATGTGCTGTACCATCAGCCCATGGATTATTAATCATATGAAGACCATGAAAATGAATAGCTGTTGATTGATCACGTAGCATATTCGTAATATGAATACGAAGTTGATCACCAAATTTTGCTCGAATAAGAGGGCCCGGAAATGGTCGATCGACATCCCATGATGAATTAGCATGATGTATGATAATTACAGATCTAGGATATCCATCAGGATTCGATGGAATATTTCGAACGATGAAATCATATTCTACAAGAGCCATCTCTACCACAAGATAATCATTAAATAGAAGAAAACAGAAGATCGAACGGATGAATATAATTTCTTTTATCTTCAAGTGCATTGAGTGATGTGGTATTGTGGTATTATTCGTTGGCTCCTAAGTGATAAAGATTTTGCTATCGTTAAAGAGCAATAATAATTATACTCAGTATAAAAAGAAAAAAATGTTTGACAAAAAAAAAGTTATTTCTAGTTCAACTGAAAACTGAATATGTATAATAATTAGTTTAAAAGTATTCTATAAAGTACAACGGTGCTTCGACATTTATAAGCGATTCAGGCAAATGTTTT